GGAAACTGTTTGGTTAACCACATTCTTCAAAATACCGTCTTTCGAACATCTTCAGGGTGAGTAAATAATGCTTTAAATGTCACTTTTTGGGGAACTATTCCTTTAAGTGCTGGCACTCACTGCCGCTCCCTGTTGGTGCTGCACTCACCAGTGTGTGGCGTTTCATGTGCTCCCTCCGGGTGAACTTCTTCCCGCAGATCTCACAGGGATACGGCCTCTCGCCCGTATGTGAACGCATGTGCCTCTTCAGGATGCACTGGTGCATGGCAGAAAAACTGCAGTATGGGCACTTAAACTTCTTCCTGATCACTGTGAAGTCATTAACTGTGGATAGAGATGAAGAGATGTGAGGAGAACTGATCAGAGTCTGAACACATGCAGGTTAAGCCACTGGAAGTATGAGAGTTAATATGTGAGAAGTGTTAAAGCCCTGCACATAGCATTAATGCCAAACCTACTTACCAAAGCACTGGGTTAATCTCTCTCTCTCTCTCTATTGGATAGAATGACTTAAATTAACAGCCGCTATTGCTGCATTAATATAACGGGCTGATTCTTGTTAACCCTAATTATTTTCATGGGTGGAGTCAGGGCTATTTTTATTTTAGGAGCATTCCGTATTGGCCCGAATATAAGACGACCCTGATTATAAGACGACACCCCTCGGTGACAGTCACGACTCATGCAGCTGTAAGGTTTTCTTTTTCTTTAGTTTTTACTCGCGATCTTTACAACACGCATTACATTCCGTATTTCATGGCACACTCGTTTTATGCGTATTTGGCGCCACCTATTGTTGTGGGTGTATTATTGACATGTCAAAGTCTAGACCCTGAATATAAGACGACCACGTTTTTTCAGATGTATTTCCAAGAAAAAAACATCGTCTTATATTCGGGTCAATACGGTACTTTCTCGACAGCTAAGCATTCATCTGCCCCAAATTTCACACTACTGATGCACAACCAAATTTGGTAACAGGGTTGCGAAGTCTACAGTTTTACTGCGGAATAGGGTGACTTTTACACTGTTGCGACAACGGGTTGCAGGTTGTTTTTGAAGTCAGGGGCTTGAAGTGATCTCCCCGGAACGTGATGGAGGGACTCCCCTGACAAAGGGAAAAACTAAAGCAAAAAACACGGTTGGGCTCATGTTGGGCTAGTTTTAATTAGCAAATGGACTGGTTTTTGTTTCACAGACCTGGCAACCCTGTTTGGTAATTTGGTAAAATACTGATCAGTGCATTAGGCATTTTAAACTAACAATGAGCAACAATCTAGGCCAATGTCAGTTTATAAATATTCTATTGTTAATCAGTTCATGTTCATCTGGTCCGTCATCTGATCATTCAATTATTCCATTCAATCTGTCAAACGAAAAACGGTAAAAAATGGTCAATATTTAATTTTTCTGTCTTTTTTCTGTATGAACCAAAAATTGAAAGTTGGCATTCCATGGAGGAATACAATCCATGTATCATGTGTCCATTCATTTTTTTTATTTAATATTGAAAGTAGAAACATGAGAAAACAGCTCCTTTTTAGTTTTTTTGTTTGTTTTTTCTTCCAAAAAACGAAAAACAATAATTCAGCTTAAATTTTCGTTTTTCGTTTAGGGGTAGAAAAATGAATAAACAGCTTGAATATTAAATTTCTACACGTGGGCGGGAATTAAACGCCCCTTTCTGCTGATTGGTCAGCTTAAGATCAAACCAGGCCGTCATCAGTTCTTCCGCAGTATCACGCAGCAGAATAATAGTCCTCCGCTGCTGCAGTTTTATGGATTCTTGACGCATTTATTGCAACTACATTTCATCTTTTATTATCAAACAGACTAATGAATAGCTCGACACAACTCGTACCGGGGCAGAGTTTAGACAGAGCTTTCTTCTGTGTAGACCAGTGGTTCTTAAAAGTGATAGTGGGTAAAGTCACTTTTTTATCATGATACATAGGCTTACTGTGATTTATTCCAAAGTGACTTATATGATGCATTTAACGTCAAATAATCTAAATGAAGCCTTTTAAAAGTCAAGTATTCGCTGTGGTTCATGTTTGTGGCATGCGCCAGAAAGATGCTCAAGGAGACC